CCGGCTGTGGCCGCCTGCGTGCCCCCTCGTCAGCCGGGCCTCGGCACCGCAGCTGCTTTACGTCAGAGCGCCCTTCACGAGCTCCCCGCCACACCACAGCGAGTGCGGGGCTGACCCCCCCCGGCTACAGTTTCGCTCCCGTCATACTCAAGGGCAGAAAACTGGGTTATACAGCGAAAGAAAGGGTTTATTTAGGATGGAAGCACATAGTAATAAAACATAGTAATATAGAAGAGGTTTGTGTAATACACAGTCATTAGCATAGTAATAAATGCAAATACAGTAATTCCTAACTTTTAATGCTGACCTTTATACATCAATACTTTACAAACAATAGCGAGCTAAAGAGCACTCTGTCATAAAAAGGGCTACAAAATCGCCAACGGCCTCTGGACTACCAGTAGGAACTCATTGTGTGCCCATCCCGACCAGGACGTCTGGGGTGGGGGGAATATTTTTTTTTTTTTTTTTTTGGTTAAATAAGGTAAGGCCACATTTTTGCCCACGTTTGCTGATGTCCCAAGCGAAGGTGTTTCAAACCAGCAATGACAAATTTGGGAGAAGCTGTCACAGACTAGCAATGGGCAGCGCTCCAACTGGAAATGCTTGCGCATCCGTGTTTTCTGGGAACAGCCACGTTGGTTTTGCGTTAGTCAGCTGTCATGTCAACCAGGGTTTGCGTGGTAGGAATTCATTGCCCCGTGTGAGATTTAGAAAAGAGGAAGAAAAGACAAATAGATTGAGGTTCAGCTCCAGAGTCTCAGACTCAAAAGATTTGGAAGCGTCTTGTCAAACACTGGGTAAACGTACTACATTCATGGAAAAAAAAGGGAAGGTGATAAAAAGAGAGTTCCTAAGACTACAACAGTGTCTAACAAGCCAAAGTTTTGAGTCAGAACCAACCTGGAACTTTTTATTTTGATCTTCACTTTAGCTGAAAAGTTATTTTACAAGTCTGATTCTCCCAGTTGTTACTCTACCACACATGCACAGTCCCTGATTTACCCAGAAGCTGGTGCCTGTTCCTCAGGCTCCCAACACTCTTCCTGAACCACCAGCGCTCGGCTCAGGACTAACTCCCTGCTTCCAGACCTCCTAATGGTTTTTGTGGCGCTGGGGTTAAGCATCCAGCCTTGACACCAGTTACCATGTCTCCAGTCAGTCTCTTCCCGCTGTGGTTCTCATCACCCACCTTTTTCAGGTACCCCCAAACACTGGTTTCGTTTCCTGCTTCGAACACCTGCTCCAGCCCTATGGCAGAAGTGAGTGGGAAGTGAACGTTCTCCTACCCACTGTACATTCATAGGGTTTCTTGGCCGTGTGGATTTTCAAATGCACTTTAAGTGTCGAGCTCTTCCGGAAGGTTTTCCCACACTCACCACACTCATAGGGCTTGGCACCTGCATGGATTCTCAGGTGGGCCCCAAGGGCTGAGCTGTGCCTGAACATTTTTCCACATTCCTCACATTTGTAGGGTCTCTCCCCGCGGTGGATCCTCAGGTGCACATTGAGAGCTGAGCTGCGACGGAAGCTGTCCCCACACTCCACGCAGATATAGGGCCGTTCCTCAGCGTGTGTGGTCTGGTGCTTGGCCAGAGTGGAGCGGTCGCTGCACCTCCGGCCGCACTCGGCGCACTGGTAGAGGTTGGGCAGGAGGCCACTGTGGTACATGGGCAAGGCGTTCCCTCCATGGATCCGACGATGAGTGGTGAGTGCCGAGCTCTGGCTGAAGCCCTTCCCGCACACAGGGCACTTGTAGGGCTTCTCACCTGTGTGCGTTCGCATGTGGGTCACCAGCGAGGAGCTCTGCCGGAAGGTTTTCCCGCACTCAGTGCACTCGTATGGTTTCTCTCCTGTGTGGATCCTCTGATGCCGAATGATGGCTGAGCTGTCCCGGAAACGCTTCCCACACTCCTGGCACTTGTGGGGCTTCTCTCCGGTGTGGACCCTCCGGTGTATGATCAGGGAGGAGCGGTCGCTGAAGCTTTTCTCACACCGGGGGCAATTGAAGGGTTTCTCACCCTTGTGGCTTCGCTGGTGGACAATGAGATGCGAATTCTGGCTGAAGCTCTTCCCGCATTCGTTGCACTGGTAGTGTCTCTCTCCTGTGTGGGTCCGCTGGTGCCTGATCACGTTGGACCTCTGGCTGAAGGTCTTCTCACACTCGTTGCACTGGTAGGGCTTCTCACCAGTGTGGATCCGCTGGTGTTTGATGAGGTCCGAGTTGCGGGTGAAACTCTTCCCACATTCGGAGCAGCCGAAGGGTTTCTCTGCCAGGTGGATCCTCTGGTGCTGGCTCAGGTACGAGCTCCGGCTGAAGCTCTTCCCACACTCGGGACACTCGTAGGTTTTCTGTCCCACCTGCTGAATCCAAATGGCACCGTTCCCACACATGGGTGGATCTGGCTTGTCCCCAGCAAGGATAACCTTGCTGATGTGGGCACTGCCACTGTCCTCGCACTCCCAGACTTCCATCCCACGGGGAGTTACCATTCCCTGTCTCTTTCCAAAAGACATCTCCACCTCTTTTTGTGTCTCCCGCTCCTGCTTGCAGTCCTGTCTTTGATTGGCATCCTGGAGAGCATCACCTGTGAGTTTCCTGGAGGGGAATGGATGCAGTTCAGCTCTCAGAGGACTTTCCTGATGAAGCTTGCCCTTCTGTGTATCGCCCATGGTCCTGTCACCTGCTGGAGTGAAGAGAGGAACTAGCAATGAATAATCCCCTCTGCTTCTCTGAGGGAGAAGTCCAAACAGGGCAACTGCAGAGACCTGCTGCACGTCAGCCGCCATTAGCTAACAGCGCAGGAGCTAACCTCTCAGTATCTTCTCTGGGCAGCATGAGGGCACGGAGAGCAAGGAGCGTGGGAACGGAGTGTGACCTGAGGACGGGCGGCCACTGGGGCACAGATTGCAAAGAGGGTCCTCTGTCATAAAGTCACAGCCCTAAGGGACAAAACCTGTCACTTGCTTGTCCTCAAAGTTCCTGTGTCTAGCAAGGGTAGGGGGACATCATCACTGCTCTCCTCAACAACCCCCACCATAGCTACTTCTCCTCCCATTGCCTAGGAATCACTGCTCTTCTTCCAGCAGTCCTATGCTTAATCAAGGAAGCAGCCAACATCACAGGAACATCCACCCTGACATGTAGACTATTTTCTTCTTCTCAGTCATAGCCCTTTTCCTTAAAAAGAAAGCCCTACATATTCTGCAGCAAATCGTATCTAGATTTTTTACTACAGAACAGATAGGCACGTGAGTGGAATGATAAACTGTTTTATTAACCAAGCATGGAAATGAACATTTAGACTTAAACATTTAGAAGCTCCTCTTTTTTTATTAGTTATATGGAGAACACACCTCAGAAATGGATGCTGGAGTGTGAAGTAAGCTGATCAGGTGGATGGCACTGCTTACAGACTTAACATCGTCCTCTTATCTGTGGGAGGTCAGAATACGAGATGAATGCAGCAGGATAAACTCCTCAGGTTTTGTTTCAGGTGATCTGCTGATTTTGGAAGACAACACCACACTAGTTGTACTGATTGCCAAAGTTTTTTTTTTTATAATAGGGCTAAGAAACATTTGAAGTACAAATAAAGGTATAGCACTGGCCCAAGGCACGCATCCCAAGGCAGCGAAATGACTAATAAAACATTAAAGATACTGTCAGCATGAAAGGAAGAAAAAGCCACACTTTGGTTAGTTATGCCTTCTAACATTCTGAGTAGAGTCCTTGCTAAAAAATACACAAGATTTGATTTTGGTTTGGATAGGTTCTTTTTGAAAGGGTATTAGATTCCCCAAGATGTTTCATCTTTATCGTACCCTGCCTACGAATCTTCCTGAAAGCAGAATCTATATAGTATGGGGAGCAGAAGAGGCAGGATGAGTGCAGAGTGTGCAGCACAGTACATGCCAAATTTTCAGCATTCAGCTCTTTTCTTCCCTTCCCAGCCTGCTCTATTCAATTTCTCACCTTGTGAGCAATCTCTCTACTGTCTTGATGTTTAGCTGCTTCTGGCCACAAAGGTGTTTCTCTTCACTCCATCCAGGAGGTTAAAGCCAAGTCAGGGACTGCAGATCCTGAACAGAGGAAAGAAAACAGCTGCAATAATCATCATAGCAGTAAGATTACAGAGTAAGATTACAGCAGAATTAGTATTTATGAGACAAAAGCAACCAGAGGAAAATGACACCCAGAAACACCAGTCAGGGTCACCACGTGTTTTGCCCTGCACTCCGTGACACCACTGGTCAGGTCCAATATCCAGGGCCAGCTCACACAGCAAAGAGGGGGCCAAGTACACATGCTGTGGAGAGCTGTCTGCCAGCTTGCTGCCTTCTTACCAGTGTCTGGATGTTCCTCTTGCTGCACTTCCAGACCAAAAAAATACCTCCTACTAAGCTTTATATAAGAATATATCAATTCCTCAAACCCTTTTTTTTTTTCCATCACCTTTCTTCCTAGTGAACTAAGTAAGAACATAATGTAGTTAATGCAGTTCTGTTCTGCAGGTGGATGAAAAATGCCACCTTCACAACTGGGCTGCTTTCTGCGTCTGTCTGGAGTCCTGTTTATTGCCTTTACCAAAGGAGTATTTTGCTTGGTTGCTCTCAGTGGCTCAGCCAGGCACGCACAGGTCTGGGCAAGAGAAGAGATTTTGGTCTGCTCACACATTATTGACAGAAGCAGTCCAAAGGAAGAATTTTCTGACCTGTGCTCCAGAAGAATGGCAATTAAGCTGCCTCGTTCCAGATGGAGTTTACAGGGCTGGCAATGAGCAGAAAAAAACCAGTCTCACACACACCTGTTTATGCATGAACACCGAGATGATTTAGTCAGCCAACATGCAATCCCACTTCTTGAGGATCTCTTTTTAGAGCAGAAGTACACTACGCAGGAGTGGGGGTTGTGGGATGGAAAATTAGGTCACCCATTTAGCTTTAGCACTACATTTGTGCAGTGGTATTTATACAGAGGCGTTTTAAGATGCTGAGGGCTCAGTGACATCCTAGAAATGCACAGGTTACAGAAAGAAAATGCTTAAAAACTGCACATGTGAATGCCAGCTCTGCAATGTTGCACCATTTTGGTCATGTGGATTCCCACCATGCCACTGGGAACAAGTGTAAAATTACTCATGACTGGGTGTTCATAAGAAAAAGAAAGGTAAACCAGCATATTTTCCTTTCCAAATGAGACACAATCTGAACTGGCTGCTCGGTGGGGTACCAGAGGAGGGTATTGCAATAGACGTCGGTTGCCAGACCCTCCCGAGGACAGGGGCAAGAGTTCCACACCTGCATAATGCCACCGCAATAAAAGGAGGCCCCTGATAAAATGGAGACGTGACATTTTCTTGGCTCTGCCTCAGCGTGGAGTCACATCCTTCCTGCTCCCCGCTGCCTCCTCCATGGTGGATTCGGTGGGTATGACCACGTCGGGAGAGGGTGTTTCCACTCCTCCTGGCAGCAGGCAGCGGCTGCAGGCTGTGATCTCGGGTCAGAGACAGGGAGGCCAAGGTCTCCCTCCTCATACATCTCCCATCCACCTATGAGGCAGTGCTGCTCTGCAGGTTGAACCATCCTCCTGATGTTAGCAGGAGAGAAACATCCTTCTGGTTCAGTCCTTTCCTGCTGTCGTTCGAGAGCTGCTGCGAGCGCATGGTCAACATGCACCCTAAAATGGTGGGTGAGCACCAACAGAAGGCAGAAAACGGATGAAGGAGACAGCTGTATGTTGTGCAGAGCCAGGCAGGTTGTGGGATATGTCAGAAAAGCATGTTGTGCAATATGTAGTAAAGATCTGTCCCTAAACAAGAAAGGAAACTGAAACACCACCAAGCACCAGACAGGGACAAGGTGCCAGTCTCCAGAGCAGCCATGTTTGGACATGGCTGAGTCCCCAAGCAGTGTTCTGGCTGATGAGGTAACCTGGTCCTTACGAGGCCAAATGCAGAATGAGGGAAGTGACCTGTAGCATGGGGAGCTGATGGGCCGCACCGAGCTCCTGTGATGACAGACAGAGAGGCCCCAAAGGGGTTGCCCCATGAAGGACATGGCTGGCCGGGGAGGGGAGCGAGCCACCACTGAGACCACAAGCCTCAGGGAGGCAGGAGAGGCATGGAGAACAGAGAGCTGCAGTGGGTGTCAACCTGGGGAAACCACACATCCTCCATGGAGATCTTCTCCAAGTTTGGACCCAGCGGCAGAGCGAGGAGGAGGGCAGACCCCACTGGTGCAGGAGGTGGCCTTTACCCAAACTCAGCCTCACGCAGGCGGCCGCTGCTGCCTTCCCCAACTTAAACCCAGCACACTGCCTGGCGACGGGGCAGGAGGGGAGGCGGGGAAGGGGGGGCATTGGAGGGAAGAACGGTGGGAACAGAGGTGTCTGTGACACCACCAGCCTCCCCCAGCTCCGCTGGGAGAATCCGGAGGGGCAGGAGGAGGACGCAGGCAGGTGGGCAAAGCAGCGGAGATGACTTCTCCGGCAGCGCAGGGAGCCCCAGGCTGTTACAGACACCACTCACAGTGTGATGTCGGCCACGTGGGCTTGTCTGGTTTTGTCTGGTAAGTAGGAATCGTCCCTCCCTCAAGCCAAGTTGTGAGGAAGGGCGGCCAACCCGTCTGCTTTTTACCCTTCTCCATCACTCCTCAGCAATTTGGGGGTGAGAGGAAGAGATGGGAGCACCTTCGAATGCCTCAGGTGCAAAGATCTCAGGTGCTTAAAATGTTGCTGGTCTTCACCCACTGGAGCTAGTATTTTATTCATCAAGGAGGGCCAGAGAGTAACCAAGGAGCCGGGGACGAGGACTTGGAGCTGGACACAGTGGGCAGAGGCTGGAGCAGACATGGAGACTGGAGATGGGATGATGGGGACAGCTGGGTGCATAAACCAGACACAAGCACAAAGGCAGAGATCTAGACTTGACCCACAAGGCCAGAAGGGAAGAGCTGGCCAGGTGAAGTGACAGGGGAGGCAGGAGAAGGAGGTCTGAGAGAGGACCTTGGTTGAAGACAAACAGAAAGGGATATAGTTGGAAAAAACAGATAGAAAGGCCAGGCTCCTCTGGCCACATCCTAGCAGGAGTGGCCCCCAGCCTCCTTGTTCCCCTGCTTTCTGCAAACCCCCCCACAGTCACCTGGCAAAGTGTGATGCTCTCCTCTCCTACTGCCTCGCTGTCCTCTCAGGGGAAAAGTTATACGCTTGCTTTGATCCTGCTGCATCTACAGACACACAGGTGTTAATAAGATGGCATAGATGTTAATAAGATATAGGCCATGAGGAAGTTTTGAAGTTTGTTATTACCAAAAGAAAAGAAAAAAAAAAAAGACAACATCATAGGTTAAGAGACTGTTACAGAGGCTGCAAAGTCAAACTTGGAACATGCCTGAATCACAGTCATTTTGCAACCTTAGATTTGTTCCCCCTGTGCATGGACATAGTAACCCAGCACTTTAATTACCTGGCTTCACTGTTTTAACATGAGTTTTGGCTTCTTTAGTCTCTGAATGGACACTACCTTTCTAACAAGCAGCTATTCAGTATGTTATGTCACCCTTATAGGTCAGTGTTTGACTCTCCAATTTATTTGAACTCCCATTTGAACTCTGCTATAGACAGAATGACTCATTTCCTCATTAACTTTTTACATGCTCTACGTTTTAGAGCTTCACAGCTATTAATTGGTTTATAGTGATTTTGCAAATGGCAAAGTGAGGGCAGAGAGGGATTAAAGTCAAAAAACATCCACTGCTTTTAGAATCTCAGTTTGAGATATCTCAACCCTGGCCTCTCAGGGTACATATGCTAATGTAGCACTTACTTGCCATATAAAATACACCACATGCAGACTCCAAAACTGCAAGAGAGCTCAGCCTTCTTATAAAAGGTAACCCACAAGGTAAGGAAAATGCCATTAATAACATGCTAAGAAACCTGGTACTTGCCTAGCATCTCACAGGATACTCTGTGGTGTAGCCAGGAATAAAACCTACTTCTTGGAAGTATATCCACAAAACTATCCTTGCCCTTCCAGCATCTTCCTGACTCATTCTTCCATACACCTTCCAAGCTGTGGGAAATGAGGCAGATGTCTTGAATATAGTAAGTGCCTAACCTGGGAAACTGATTCCCTGCTAGAGCAGGTCCGGTCTCTACACTGAAGGAGCTGCCAAGTCTTTAGGAAAGAAGAGTAGGTTGCTGTGTCCTTAAAGAATATATAAAAAGCATATGCAAGAAGACATGAAATTAAGGTTGCACATGAAGCTTTTATTTAGGCACATTTAACCTCCAAAGGTTTGATTTTGCAAGCTTTCATAATGTTCTTTACAGGGAAGAACTGTCTTTAAGTTTTGCATTAAGTTCAGTGAATGCTTGGACCATTGTAAAGGCATACACACGTCCACTGGGACACGCTCCATTAACTCAAGGGGTCTGGACCCACTTACCCAGAGGAAGAGAATTTGCAGAGGCTAAAATCTTGGAACGAAACAGCCTCCTTGCTCCAGCCCTGACAGCACAGCTACATGCCGTTTCAGCAATGACTTCTAAGACATTTCTCCTAGTTCAAGATTTGAATCTCCAGAGCTTTGGTGAAGGTCCCTCAGCCACGTACTGTCCCCAAAATACTACACCCCTTTCGACATGGGTGGAGCACGTTTTCCTCAGGTCTAGACAGCCCATCTTGAGCCTGTTACTGCATTTCCCATGTGTTGGATCCTGCACCCAGAGAAAGCAACAGAGATCTGGGTTCAGCCCTCCAGCTCTTCTGAGTGTGCCATTGTTAGCATTTCCTTCTCCTCTGACTCCCTGCATTTTATTTTTCACCAGTGTTCTTGGGTTGGGGCTGCACAGCCAGCCCTTGGGGCGGGAAGGCACAGCAGCCAGGAACGCCACTCTCTGACCAAGAGTACCGCCGGTTCTTCAGGTCCCTCCAGGCTGCCCGCCACGCCAGCACTGCTTGCCTCCTTCGTGCGCTGTATGGCTGCCAGAACCCCCTGGTCCGGAGACTGGACGAGTACGAAAACCACGGAGTCATTCCTGAGGGTAAAGCCGACTGTGACTGCCAAGGGCAGGCAGATGGATGGGGGTCCTGCATGGCCAGCACTGGACCTGATCACTGGGAGGGGATAGAGACAGGAGCTGGTGGGGGAAAGGGGTGGGTAGGAATCCTGCAGTGAGGAGAAGATATCTGCTTATGAGCATCCTCTCTCACACCTGATTGCATCCACGTGTCCCTAGGATCAGCCTCCTGTCACACCTTGGGTCACGGAGATGACCAAGGAGCAGTAGAGTTTCTCACCGAGGTTCAGGGAGGCACCAAATGGCATGGGGGTTTTCATGGCTAGATGTCATTCAACAGTGAGGTTATTGCTGAGGGCTCGTGGGACCCCAGGACTGGAGTTTATCACTGAGTCTGTGTCTTTATTTGCGTCTTTCTAGGGCCCATATGCTCTGAACTGCCAGGAACTCCTTTCTTTCCCGATTTCTGCACCTTTTCTTTTTATCGCTGTACTACGAAAAGGTATTTCATTAAGGTGAGTCATTTAGCTATTTCCTGAAGGCCATGGTGTGCTCTGGGTAATGATCAGGGAAAAGGGAGAGCCCTGAAATGAGAAAGTGGGAAAACAGGAGGCTAAAAGACAGGGAAGACAGGAGAGCCATGGGCAGCCACCTTCCAGGGGCACTCACATCAAGCTGACTAGCTTACACAGATGGCACCTGCAGCCACTTGCCAAAAAGGAGACTTTGTGGAAAGTATTCTTGAAGAAAATGAACCTTTGAGGACCACCTCAGCCCTTATCTCCAGCTCTCATTCCCCACCATGTCGAGACAATCTGGGTTACTGCAGGAGAAAGGGTGATTCATGCAGGCTAGAAGAGGAGAGTAAAGAGGAGGACAACTGGGAGTCATGAGAAGAGACTTATGGGGAGACTTGACAAGGAAAGAAGGTTTCTTTCCTTTCCTGGGCTCATCTTTGTTAGGGAGTGGGAAAGATGGGATCGTGCAGCGAGTGCTAACCCCACAGAACAGGGGGGTGGCTAGGTGCCTGCTCCTGAAGCCCACTGCCACTATAGAGCTGTGTTTTCTGCTCCACAGAGGACTGCATGCCCAGGAGAGACCAAAGCTGAGCTGGGCAGCACACGAGCCTTCAATGACATGACCACGAGCAGTGATGCCATGTTGTCTGGCATCTTCAGTCCCCAGTCCCTTTTTCCCACGTCTCCCACAACTGCCCAGCTGGCCCACTCCATCCCTGACACAGAGGTAGCTGTGCTCCCCACCTCCTTACCTGAGCCGAGGAACATGCAACTAAATCCTTCTGACCCACGTGCCACAGAGATGACAACCAGTGGCCAGCAGCAAGGACAGCTGCCCACCAGTGACATCCAGGATCTCCTCCTGAGGCTAAAAGACACCCATGTGCAGAGTTCACTGCAGATACTTCAGCAGTTGTTGACCATGGGGAAGGCAGTGGGGGAGGAAGAGTTGCAGGCTGCTGCCCTGAAGCTGCTGGTGGCCCTGAACAATGCAAGTGTGTCTCAGTGAGCAACCAGCACTGATACAGGGCATGGAAGACAGAAGTGATCAACACAGGAGGACTGGCCATTGTGACTCTTCTATATGGTGTCGAGTCAGACACGGTGTCTCAGGGACGTATGGGAAGATGGAAACAGGAGAAGGAGTCCTCCTTCCTAGGCCTGAGGCATCATCAAGGTTGACAGTGCTTCCCCAGGCCAACAGTGTGGGAACCAAGGGGAAAAGCCATCTTTTCCAAGTGCATGGGCTTCAAAGAGAGGTTAACCTCTTGGCAATAACTGTATTAAAGAGATACTATCCTCTCCTATGCAAACTGTTCACTTGTTTAATTTCGGAGATGGCTATTCTTGAACAAGGCAAGATGGAAAAATAATTAATTTTTCCTGCTTGGGGTTATACCACCACCACTAGCTCTCTGTCCTGGACAGAGAGATGGGGTTTGTTGTGTCATTCAATGAATGTCACGGGAGAACACCGGCCTTTCTTCATCAAGTATAGGTGTTTCTGCACAGAAGCATGAAGGGAACAATCTTCTTTGGAAATATGTGTGTGAATATATAGACTTACATACACGAGGGGTGCGCTTTAAATAAGGCCGTATCCTGCAAGGGAACTGCTGGGCTAGCGTTCTCCTCATATTGGTGTTTGCACATGATTGTCATCTACTTCTGAAATAGATGCTATGAAACACATGGGATAAATACTCATATTAAGAATCTCCTCTTGTCTCTCTCAGAAAATCAGAGAGCCTGATTATGGGAAGTGCTGTTCCTTTTATAAACACTAGATATACCTGTAAGTAAAGCCATGTGAAGCCATCTGGAGCCAGCACTTACGGCTAAAAGCAGAGTGGAAACTCTGTTTTTCTGCATCTCCATTCAGAATGAGTTTAGAGCTACCTCAAACCTACTCTAAAATCCAGTGGTTGGTTTCGCCTTTTAAGAGACGCCCATTAAAATGAGAATCCTCTATTCGCCCTTCCTCCCACAGGCCTGTAATCTGTTCCACTGAGGGCTACGAGGAGGAAGGGGCCAAAGGCAGCTCTCCCTGGGGATGCCCCACACCAAGCACGTTCCCATGGAGAGGGTCGGGGATGTCTGCATTCCCTTTACTCTGCCTAAGTGACACAAACACAGCTGAGTGAAATATAGGCTCTGCCTCTATCACTTGAAGCAGAGCTCCTCAGAAGAAGATCTCAAAATTACAGGTCCTCCGTTTGTCCTTGGAAGCGTAACCCTTCCCGAGGATGAAGGCAGGTCACGCACGGGAAACGTGCAAGCCCTTGAACAAGAGTGCTTGCTCGCTTTCATGGAGGACTGCCCAACGCATCGTCCTTACTTGGTGGGATGCCAGCCCTGGCCGCACCCCGGCACACCACCTCCTGTGCTTCTCCCTAGGAAGAGCCCAAAGCTGCCGGATTCCTGCCAGAGGCACCAGGGCTTGTGTCCCTCTGGCTGCCCGGTCATTGACAGCTCCTGCCGGGGCAGTTCTCACAGCAGCCTGGCTTGCCATCCCCGCCCTCGTGTCCTGGCTGGCAGCCCACGTGTGGGTCGGTACACACGTGGGGTTGCTAGATTTGGCCTCAGCCAGCCCAACGCTAGAGATTTCCTAATCAGACG